TACAGGGGTGAGGCCGGATGTGTGCTCTCTCCTCTCTTTTTATAGACAGTCGACCCAGAAAATCCAGAAAAGGGGCATTTTGCTCTCCGGGGGAAGAATTAGATCCGCACACAATAAACAAGCTACTGTTTACAGACGATCAGTGCCTGTTCTACAATGTGAGCAGTAGACTGCAAGAACATCTAAACAGGTTAAGTTCAACATGCAGAAGAAAAAAAAACATGAAAATAAATACTACAAAAACTGAAGTAATGCAGCTCAGCAAAATTTCCATTCCGCGACACATCGGGTTGAATTGTACCTGTTTGAGGCAAGTTAAAGAATTTAAATATCCTGGAAGTAAATTCTCGGAGGATGGGAGGAAAGATCAGGAAATAGAAACAAGATGCCAACGAGGCAGTACACTTATAAACCAGCCGACACCGTTATTAAAACATACAAACATAAGTGTGAGCCCCAAGAAACAAATTATAAACACCATATTCATACTAACACTGTGCTACCAGCGCCAGACTTAGACATTATCAAAGTCTAACCTAGGTACAATTAACACCTGTAAAATGAGATGCCTGATCAAAGTCGCCAACTTAACCATCCGAGACAGAGCTATAAATGATATCATCAGACAGACGGTAGGAGCAAGACCATGCAGCGCTTTCATCGAGAAACGGAAGACCAGATGGTTTGGTCATCTAGTAAGAATGCAACCACAACAACTATCAACGCAGGCGCTACACATGAAAAGATATAAATTGAAATCAAGAGGTCGCTCTAGGAGAACATGGATTGATGACATTAAAGAGCTTCTATATGGTCAGCATCAATACCATCCTGATGCAGTACAGATCCGGTGGGCTGGCCAAACTGTTCGAATGCCTGACCATTGACTCCCAAGAATAATCTTTTATGGTGAGATACATGAAGGCAGATGTTCTCATGGTGGCTAGAAACAAGGCTTCAAGGACACACTAAAGGCATCACTGAAAGCCTTCAGTATAAACCCTGACACCTGGGAGGCTGCAGCACAAACGGACTTTACAGTGCATATATATCCGAAATAGTTCAATGATCTGCAAGGCATCTAGAACACGGAAAGCTGATCAGCGAAGACAGGCCAGAAAGAACTGTCAAACAGGCCTTTTGACTACAGACACTGTGCCCTGCCCGCATTGTCCTAGATTCTTCAGGGCACGTATAGGACTTATAAATCACCTCGGGACTCATAAACACACAACTGCAGTTTCATTACGGATGAAATAAAGAGTGGTCCTTATCACTAGGGATAGACGAACGATCAATCGATCGACATCAACACGGAATGACAATAGAAATTCTTGCCCATCAAGCAATGGATCGCAAACTTTTCCTCCCCACAACGCTTAACGACAGAAGTGGACACTGGTAATGGTCATGATGAAAGAACTAGTTCGCGCACACATATTTGTACACTTATTTAAATCTATATATTTTATATATTGATCAATTTTCTGGGAGGAAAATGTGTTAGAGGGGTCCAGAGCTAAAAAAAAAAAAAAAAAAAAAAAAAAAGGCAACAGCCTAATTTGTCATGCATGTCGTAAAGGACGAAAGTGAAGTGTTGGTGTCAGATTGAGTACCTGATCAGGTAGGAAAAAAAAGTAAATGCAAAGTTCTCTCAGTCATGAGCAGACTGATAATGGAAGCTAGTTCTAAGCGTACATTCAACTGAGAGATGAAAGGCAGAAAAGGAGAACAGTTGTCTCAAATCAGAACAAACACTCAAACTGGCTGCTGTAAAAAGTACATTATCTTCATGACGCTTCCTACTTTAATCAACAGGATCCTACATATTTCTGGATGTTAGCGACCACAAGATCGTAAATGGCTCTAAAGCCACGGTCAGTGTCCAGTTGCCAGCTGGTATCACAGCTGTTTGTATAGAGTTCCATTATGCCACCAACGGCCAGCAAAACCACAGTATCTGGCTACTTAACCAGGTAGACGGTAGCACAGGTGTGGCACCAGGGGATGTGGTTTTTGGTGAGCTGAAGGAGGTCAACACGGGCGGACTCTGGCAGGTGGCCACGTTCTCTGCCTGGGTTCAGAATCACTCTTTTGTAAGTACATGGGCACTACGTCATCTGTCCTGTGTTGAATGCGTCACGTGTTTTTAATTTTCAAACATGAAGAATCTGTGAGTGGGTGAGAATATACTGTTCAGATTAGTTTTGTTTAAGTTTTAGACAGACGTTACTGAGCTGGCGTATAGTCGGTAGTATTGTCTCTGTTTTCACAGAATGTTGGACGGTGTAGCCAAACCTATCATACACCGTGGTGCCAACGACTTCAGACACAGAAGTACATAGGAGAGGAGACTAACATTATCTATGCTAGGAGGAAAAGCAAAATAAAAATAGTTATGGCTGAGTAGACTGGATTCATAACCTTGACTGGCAGTTGGTCAGTATAGGAAGCTCCTACAGGCGGACAAACAGAACACTTCTCTTCTAATTCGGCAGCTTCTGCTGCATGATTTTTTTAAACGTATTGGTGTCACCTTCTCTTTTGAGTAAACAAGGCAGTCCGAGTGAGGATCATGCTGCATGGGCAATACCTTGATAGAGTGTACAGAGATTTCAGTGGTTGTCTAAACAGCGAAGTCATCGACGAGCATTTGTTCTGTATAGCTCGTGTTCTTTGGAGACTTACCGGTGACAACATCTAGTAATGTTAGCTATGTAAACTACAAGAGACTTACCGGTGACAACATCTAGTAATGTTAGCTATGTAAACTACAAGAGACTTACCGGTGACAACATCTAGTAATGTTAGCTATGTAAACTACAAGAGACTTACCGGTGACAACATCTAGTTATGTTAGCTATGTAAACTACAAGAGACTTACCGGTGACAACATCTAGTAATGTTAGTTATGTAAAAACACAATAAGGCTTGGCTGTTTTAAATTTCTCTGCGACTGCCCCTGTTTTACCGACTGAATAACTCAACAGTCTGTTCAGTTTCAGAGGTTATCTATTTCAACTCTGCCAGATCGCTGGTGCAGAAAGTTTCTTAATAAAAAAAATCTATGTTGCGAGTAAATGCTGCTTGTACAAGTTTTAGCTCAGGCCTAGTATAACTGACGTTTGAAGTATGTGAATATTAAAACAAAAATCATGAATGACACTATCTTTAGGGGAAAAAATGAATCTGTTTTATTATAGCATCATTTCTTTTGTTCTTTAAAATGAAACAGTTATTGGGATTTTAATCTGTTACATTACCTTGAGAAAAGTACGGACAGGTTATCAAAATGGTCTCTCTTTCTTTGTTTCCCTCCATCTGATCTCTCCTTTCTCTCCCCCCTCTCTCTCTCTCCTCATTCTTTCTCTCCTCACTCCCTCTCTCTCCTCACTCCCTCTCTCTCCTCTCTCCCTCTCTCCCTCACTATCTCGCTCTCCTCACTGTCTCATTCTCCTCTCTCTCTCTCTCTCTCTCTGTCTCTCTCTCTCTCTTTCTACCGCTGTCTTTTTATTTTCATTTAATGATTTCCAGCTGCATTTAGGGTTTTTTTCCGAAATAGTCTAGAAAACCTGATTCTGCAACGTCATGTAAAGGATAAGCAACTCCCTCTTTCCCCTCCCCCTACTCCCTTGGGTCAAACCAGTCAGCACGGTGGCTGATAGGGTTAAAATGACGCATGTCGTCTTCACTCTTCCATTACCTGTCTTCAGCTGAGTCGACCAAAAAAGCCAAAGTCATTTCATAACATATTCTTTTCCTTGATGATTCCCTCCAGGACCTTTAGGTTGGCAGGCACCCTTATCATGCCACGCACTCCTGTTTAATCTTTGTTCTTGTAAACATCCTCTCCCCTAGTTAGTCTTTATATATATATATATATACCCTAGCACTTGTTTAACCAGGAAGTATCTCAGTGTTGTTGTTTGTTGAGCAGTGTTGACTATATTTTGCAGATCACGTTTGTGGGTGAGAAGACTTCAGACAGCAGCACTGTAGCCCTGGACTATGTCCGGATTTTTGAAGCAACTTCGAAGCCAACAGCTGTGCTCAAGCCAAATGCCACAGCAATATCACAATCTTTGGATGTGACAACATTTACAAATTCAGCATCACACTCCACGAATGTGACACCCACTAGTTCTCAATCTGCACCACACTCTACAAATATGACACCGTCTGGTACAATATCTACATCACACTCCACGAATATGACACCGTCTGGTACAATATCTACATCACACTCCACAAATATGACAACCTCTGGTACAATATCTACATCACACTTCACAAATGTGACACCCTCTGGTACAATATCTACATCACACTCCACGAATATGACACACTCTGGTACAATATCTACAACACACTCCACGAATATGACACCGTCTGGTACACTATCTTCATCACACTTCACAAATGTGACACCCTCTGGTACAATATCTACATCACACTCCACGAATGTGACACCCTCTGGTACAATATCAACACCACACTCCACGAATGTAATACCCTCTGGTACAATATCTACACCACATTCCACGAATGTATCACCCTCTGGTACAATATCTACACCACACTCCACGAATGTGACACCCTCTGGTACAATATCTACACCACACTCCACGAATGTATCACCCTCTGGTACAATATATACACCACATACCACGAATGTATCACCCTCTGGTACAATATCTACACCACACTCCACGAATGTATCACCCTCTGGTACAATTTCTACACTACACTCCACGAATGTATCACCCTCTGGTGCAATATCTACATCACACTTCGCGAATGTGACACCCACTAGTACAATATCTACATCACACTCCACGAATGTGACACCCACTGGTAAAATATCTACACCTCGCTCCACAAATGTGACACCCACTGGTACAATATCTACACCTCGCTCCACAAATAAGGCAACATCACGTCCCACAGGCGCGTCGGTCACTAACAGTAATACTACTTCACGCTTGGTGAATCCGAGTTTAATGGATGCTATAACCACTAGTACTGTAGCTACTCAGTACTTGACGATTTCGACAGAAACTAGCGCTGTAACTACACAACCCTCCACAAAAACGACAAGTACTGGTACTGTAACTACACAACCCTCCACAAATACAACAAGTACTGGTACTGTAACTACACAACCCTCCACAAATGCGACAAGTACTGGTACTGTAACTACACAACCCTCCACAAATGCGACAAGTACTGATACTGTAACTACACAACCCTCCACAAAATCAATAATCACTGATCTTATCCCTGTATCACACGCCTTCAAAGTTTCGTCTGCTTCCACAACTACTGCTAGTTCCACCGATGGTCAGACAATCACAACTGCTGTTAGTTCCACCGATGATCAGACAATCACAACTGCTGTTAGTTCCACCGATGATCAGACAATCACAACTGCTGTTAGTTCCAACGATGATCAGACAATCACAACTGCTGTTAGTTCCACCGTTGATCAGACAATCACAACTGCTGTTAGTTCCACCGATGATCAGACAATCACAACTGCTGTTAGTTTCGCCAATGATCAGACAATCACAACTACTGTTAGTTCCACCGATGGTCAGACAATCACAACTGCTGTTAGTTCCACCGATGATCAGACAATCACAACTGCTGCTAGTTCCACCGATGATCAGACAATCACAACTACTGTTAGTTCCACCGATGGTCAGACAATCACAACTGCTGTTAGTTCCACCGATGATCAGACAATCACAACTACTGTTAGTTCCACCGATGGTCAGACAATCATAACTGCTGCTAGTTCCACCGATGATCAGACAATCACAACTACTGTTAGTTCCACCGATTGTCAGACAATCACAACTGCTGCTAGTTCCACCGATGGTCAGACAATCACAACTACTGTTAGTTCCACTGATGGTCAGACAATCACAACTGAAGTTACCACTAGATACCGTCACCGAGGTCTAGCCCTAGACAATACCAGCGCGGAGACTGTTCTGGAGGGGACAACACTAATTGTTGTAGCTTCTGCCTCTGCGGTTTTTGTGATCCTTGTTGTAGCTTTGATCTTGTGCAAACGGAAGCGGAGGTCAAGGGCCAAAGGTCATCAGCGTGTGGAGATAGCTATACACACGTATCCCATGAACACTATGAGCAGTGATGTTTGAATACAAGCACTCGGGACACCCCTATAAGCGCTCCATCCCAGTCTACAGCAGCAAGCAAAAGTTTAAAATTCCGATGATACCAGTAACTGTCTGGGTGTATATCCGTCTCTCCTTTCCCCTGAGTGTCGAGCGTTGGCCAGATCCCCCTTAACTCCTGGCAGTGCCATTCTCCCCAGACCATGATGAGCTATCTGTTTTTCGGCACTGTTCACTCGCTCCAAAAGGGCCCTCACAACATCCAGCTTGTCAAACATCAGTTCACCATCAAGTGGTGCCTGCTCATATCCCAACACACCGGCATGACCTGGAGAAAATATCCAAAGGATGCTAACTACCCGGGACATATGAAGTGATGCTTGCCACTCTGCACGGATCATGCCTGACTCCACCTTTCTTCTCAGCATGCTCTGTGAGTCAGTTACAATGACGACATGTGGGTACAGCTGATTCTCAAGCCAGTGGAAGACAGCAGTGACTGCCTCCACCTCCATTCTCAAACTAGACGTTGTTATATCTTATGCCAGGTTTTGTTTTACTAAATACAAGCGAAAGTTCTCTGTATGCAGTGATCGTCAGTTATAGAGCAGGGAAGTATAATAGTGCTTGAAATAATGCAAAACTCATCCTGTTCTCTCGCGCACCGGATAGACAAAACAGGGACATTTCGAGAGAATGATTCAGCTGGACGTCCGCAGAGGGTCTGGGCGATTTACTAGCCACGAGAAAAAGAGAAGGAGGAGGGCGTAGAGAGGGCAGACTTTTAATCAGGGTACAACTGTAACCATCCGTCTGGCACCTCTTGGTTGGCGACTGATGAAGGGGACAAAACACGTATGGGAAATCTCCGAGTGTACTGATGTTAACTCTTGATTCATTCATTCATTCATTCATTCATTCATTCATTCATTCATTCATTCATTCATTCATTCATTCATTCATTCATTCATTCATTCATTTATTCGTTCATTCATGTAAAAACTTGGAACGTGGATCACAGGTTTAACAGTGTGGGCGTGAACATTTTGTGCATGAATTAATTATGCGAGATTCCTTGTTTATGAACAAACGATTGATGATGCAATGCTTATTAGGTAAAGTATCTGGATATCACAATGCCCCCCCCCCCACCCCCCTCGAAAACAAATGATATTATACTCCTCATATTAACTCAAAGAGTGTGATTGCTAAAAACATTAGATACGAAACTACTTGCGTTAACTAACTAGATACGAAACTACTTGCGTTAACTAACTAGATACGAAACTACTTGCGTTAACTAACTAGATACGAAACTACTTGCGTTAACTAACTAGATACGAAACTACTTGCGTTAACTAACTAGATACGAAACTACTTGCGTTAATTAACTAGATACGAAACTACTTGCGTTAACTAACTAGATACGAAACTACTTGCGTTAACTAACTAGATACGAAACTACTTGCGTTAACTAACTAGATACGAAACTACTTGCGTTAACTAACTAGATACGAAACTACTTGCGTTAACTAACTAGATACGAAACTACTTGCGTTAACTAACTAGATACGAAACTACTTGCGTTAACTAACTAGATACGAAACTACTTGCGTTAACTAACTAGATACGAAACTACTTGCGTTAATTAACTAGATACGAAACTACTTGCGTTAACTAACTAGATACGAAACTACTTGCGTTAACTAACTAGATACGAAACTACTTGCGTTAATTAACTAGATACGATACTACTTGCGTTAACTAACTAGATACGATACTATTTGCGTTAGCTAACTAGATACGATACTGTGCTCTTGAAAAATGTCGGATACAATCACTTTCGTCTTTTCGTTCGTTCCCAGTGGGGCGTATGGCCTCAACGCGCCTACACTAAGTCATTTTATCTTTCAGTGCGGCATGCAGCTCATGCCATGTACACACCATCTTTCCAACTTCACTCTCTAATGCCTGTCTTAGTTATTATGTGGGGCGGGGGTGCGCGTGCACTTTCTGTTCTGATGAGCTTATGCAGTATGTGACGTATCCAATGCCGTTGTCTTGTCCTCGTCAGTTGATTCACTGGACTGTTTTAAGTTATTGTCCAAAGCTCTACAGTGGTGATTCTGTCACAACATTTCATTCATTATATACTTTGCTGGCCCCTTCATGTAAACTAATTGTTATATAATATTATGTTTAACAGTGAAAAACATTGATATAATACTGCTCGGCTTTTCTTTTTAAACTAAGAGGAGGTGATGACGTTTATGAAAACATTTTGTTGGAACACTGGGTACAACATGGCCTGCCTGTATGGTATGTGTGTAAGTCACGACTTCAGAAAAACATCTGTCAGAACGTTCATGTAAAGCCAAGTCTTGTCTACATGATCGGTGTGTATGTGTGTGTGTGTGTGTGTGTGTATGTGTGCGTGTGTGAATCGTGCAATCAATACAACACCAGTAAGGATGTTTCTGGCTGTCTGTCTTCGATGCCAGAGACAGCGTCCTCACTTAGAGGAATGGGTCTATGTCAAAGGTCGCTGCAGTAACACCTGCTTGTCAATAATTCATAACTTAAGTTTGGGGTGTTCCTTAATCCTTTCAGATTGGCCCAACATCTCCATGTAATACCCAACATCTCCATGTAATACCAAACTTCTCCATGTAACACCAAACATCTCCATGTAATACCCAACATCTCCATGTAACACCAAACATCTCCATGTAACACCCAACATCTCCATGTAATACCCAACATCTCCATGTAACACCAAACATCTCCATGTAACACCCAACATCTCCATATAATACCCAACATCTCCATGTAATACCCAACATCTCCATGTAATACCCAACATCTCCATATAATACCCAACATCTCCATGTAATACCCAACATCTCCATGTAACACCAAACATCTCCATGTAATACCCAACATCTCCATGTAACACCAAACATCTCCATGTAACACCCAACATCTCCATGTAATACCCAACATCTCCATGTAATACCCAACATCTCCATGTAATACCCAACATCTCCATGTAATACCCAACATCTCCATATAATACCCAACATCTCCATGTAATACCCAACATCTCCATGTAACACCCAACATCTCCATGTAATACCCAACATCTCCATGTAATACCCAACATCTCCATGTAATACCCAACATCTCCATATAATACCCAACATCTCCATGTAATACCCAACATCTCCATGTAATACCCAACATCTCCATGTAATACCCAACATCTCCATGTAATACCCAACATCTCCATGTAATACCCAACATCTCCATGTAATACCCAACATCTCCATGTAATACCCAACATCTCCATGTAATACCCAACATCTCCATATAATACCCAACATCTCCATGTAATACCCAACATCTCCATGTAACACCAAACATCTCCATGTAATACCCAACATCTCCATGTAACACCAAACATCTCCATGTAACACCCAACATCTCCATGTAATACCCAACATCTCCATGTAACACCAAACATCTCCATGTAACACCCAACATCTCCATATAATACCCAACATCTCCATGTAATACCCAACATCTCCATGTAATACCCAACATCTCCATATAATACCCAACATCTCCATGTAATACCCAACATCTCCATGTAACACCAAACATCTCCATGTAACACCCAACATCTCCATATAATACCCAACATCTCCATGTAATACCCAACATCTCCATATAATACCCAACATCTCCATGTAATACCCAACATCTCCATGTAACACCAAACATCTCCATGTAACACCCAACATCTCCATATAATACCCAACATCTCCATGTAACACCAAACATCTCCATGTAACACCCAACATCTCCATGTAATACCCAACATCTCCATGTAACACCAAACATCTCCATGTAACACCCAACATCTCCATGTAATACCCAACATCTCCATGTAATACCAAACTTCTCCATGTAACACCAAACATCTCCATGTAATACCCAACATCTCCATGTAACACCAAACATCTCCATGTAATACCCAACATCTCCATGTAATACCAAACTTCTCCATGTAACACCAAACATCTCCATGTAATACCCAACATCTCCATGTAACACCAAACATCTCCATGTAATACCCA